CTGGTGACCCCCCATTAACAGGCAGACTAGCCCATCAGCAAGGATTTACATAATAATAAATGGGGGAGTAGTTTCAGCTACCACTGTCTGGACAAACAGAGGTGGCACCTAGCTCCGACCTTTGCTAGGGCTTCAAAGGCACCCAGCCTTTGGGGGGGTTCTCTGTCTATGTTTATCAGATAGTGAAGGCAATAAACAGTTTCCCACATTTATTGTAATTAACTTCTATTTTCATATCATATAATTTCAATCATCTTGAATTTATTGACTTATTTATGTCCTAACATGTGCTCTATCTTTGAGAATATCACATGTGCACTTGAGAAGTTTGCATATCCTATTGCTTTGGGATGAATTGTCCTGTAAATATCAAATAAATCCATCGGATCCAGTGTTTTGTTTAAGGTAGCTGTTGCCTTGTTGACTTTTTTGTCTGGAAGGCTTATTCAATGATGTCATTGGGGTGTTGAATCTTGTATTATGACTGCATTTCTGTCAATCACTTCCTTAATGTCCAAGAAAATTTCCTTTATATACTTAAGGTGCACATATATTTACAAGGGTTACATCCTCTTGTAGGATACATTCCTTTAGTATTATGTAGTGACTTTCCTTGTCTCTTATTATGGCCTTTGTTTTGAAGTCTATATTGTCAGATATGAGTATTATTATTGCACGTGGTTTTTTGTTTGTTTGTTTCCATGTGCATGAAAGTTTTTTTCCCATCACTGCACATTCAGTCTTTGTGTATCATTTGCTCCTATATGGGTCTCTTGTAGAAAGCATATAAATGGGTCATGTTTTCTTTCTTTTTTTTTTTTTTAATGTTAACAGAATACTTTATTTTTCTTTCTTTCATGTACAGCCCGCATACAATAGTACATTTTTTTAATATTTTTTGATTTCTTTACAGAGAAGAAGGGAGTGGGATAGAGACTTAGAAACATCGATGAGAGAGATCAATCAGCTGCCTCCTGCACGTGCCTGCAACCAGGGTACATGCCTGGGACCCTTGAGTCCACAGGCCGATGCTCTATCCATTGAGCCAAACCGGTTCGGCAAATGGTACATTCTTTTTTTGTTTTTTGTTTTGTTTTTTGTTTTTTGTTTTTTATTGCTAAAAGTATTACAAAGGGTATTACATATGTGTCCTTTTTTTTCCCCCGCCCTTAACAATCCTCTGGCTGCCCCTACCCCCCAGTGTCTTATGTCCATTGGTTATGCTTATATGCATGCATACAAGTCCTTCGGTTGATCTCTTACCCCGCCTCCCTCCTGCCCCCCAACCCTCCCCCGCCTT